TCTTCCCCCCCCCCCGCCCCTCTTCACCATCATTTCATTTAATTCACTCGTTACGAAGACCAAGCTTGCGTTTAAAATTGCACTAACTAATGCTCGTTTCTTTGTGTTTTATCATTTCCTCCTCTCCTCTCCTTTATCTTCTCCCTTCGACTTCACCCCCACCTAGTCAATCCGTTCCAAGATAACGAATCCGCTCTCAGTCACTTCCACTCATTCGCACATACACTCTCATTCCCACGCACGTTCTCTTTCCTTCGAAAATGCTCATGCTCTCGAAATCCACACTTTTAATCCCTTCGATCATCCCCACCTAATCCTCGTAATTTTTTGTCCTTTTAACGATCGTTGAGTGCGTACGAAAATTCGTTTAGAATATAATCATTTTAACGGATAGAAAAATTCATTACGTTCAATCTATAATAATTAATAGTGGTTCATTTACGTTTCGCCTAGGGGTTGCGCGAGACTCGATCGTCCCGCATGAATCTAGAAGTCGCAAGCGGATTCCGCACCGCAAATGCGGGCTCCATGAGCGATTACTTTGAGTCGAGTCAATTAATTCAATTCATCGAGTCAAGTCGAACCTGCTCTCTCTGCCAATGCTTCGGGCGTGCACAGTAGTATCGGTATTAGTAATAGCATAATAATAATAGTATGGTAATAGTATCGGTAGCAGTACTAGTAGTAATAATAGTCGTAGTCTAGCAGCAGCATAACTAGCTTTCATTCGGTAAATTCGGTGCGTCAGATCATCCGCTTTTGTGAACTGAGTAGCTGTACGTGGACGCCTGTCGTCGCAATGAATAGAGAAAAGTCTGTGAGAGAAATGTCCTTGGCTCTCTTATCAGCCAGAGAGATTAAGGTAGATACATATAGGAGCGTATTGACGGAGATCGGGACGCTCGTACGTCAGAAAAACGGAGACGGCGACAAGAAGGTGTTCGCGCGCGCGGCATCCGAGTCGCGGATCTAAGGACCACTCTAATGCGGCAGTAAGTATATACAAAAAAGAGACCAAAAAAATAAATATATGTATATATATATATATGTGTGTGTGTGTGTGTGTGGAGATTATTTCTCATTTTCGTACGTAACGTACGTTATGTATTGTGGATAGGTATATATATATATGTATGCGTGTGATATATTGATGTCGCCGCGTAACGCTTCTTCTATTATATCATCCCCTATTCGTACTTTTTTCCCTCATTCTCTCTCTCTCTCTCTCTCTCTCTCTCTCTCTCTCTCTCTCTCTCTCTCTCTCTTGGATTCTTTAATGCACTCTCTTTCACTCTCATTCTGACTCTCCTCCACCTTTTTCGTTATTGCCCTACTGATCCTTTGTCGGCCTGACAGCGCGCGACTATGACTTTACTCTATGAGAGAAAGAGAGCGAGCGAGAGAGAGAGAGAGAGAACAAGGTCGACGTCGCGACGCGTGCACTCTCGCTCTCTGTGTCCTCCTCACGTCTAAGGGATTACGCGATACATTAAACTGCTTATTAGTCGAGCTTAGTCTCGGCCCGAGGATTAATTTGAACTACGCGATTGCATTATTTGATTATATACACCGAGAGAAATCGTGGTAAAAGTGTGTCGATCGCGGTTCGCGTCTAGGTACGGGGGCAGGGTGGGGGCTAGCCGGGTATTTACAAAGAGGGGCCATGCATCTCTCTAAAAGGATGGTCGCACGTCGCCCTAGTCGAAAATAGGAGCACGCAATACGTCACGAGGCTCTATGACAACGTGAGAGACGAACGCGCCATCCTCTTGGGAAGACGTCGCGACTCTTCGCCTACCCGAGAAGAGGAGGCAGATGACCTCGAGCGGTAACGGAGTTCATCCGGTAGACTCGTTTCATTAGCCGATCTAGCGCCGCGTCATCTTCTTGCACGTGCCTGATCTACAGCCCGCTTTTAGAAACCGTCGGCTAAAATCACTTGCATCGACCTGTACTAAAGTATTGGCAGAGGATCCAGTCGAGCCGCGCCCACGGGCGTCGCGACGACGCGCACTCTGGGGTATAAGGGGTAACTCGATGAAAGGAATGTGGAATAATAGGAATGAGGATTTGGTTCTTGGACAGGATGGTTAATGGGTGGGTGAGCGCAACCTATACGACACGTCGCCTCTCGCAAAAATTTAACTATCGATTATTTTTTCCAATAAGTCAATTAGTAAAAAATTGTCTGCGCACGGCCTTCCGCGCGCACGCGTACGCGTACGATTAATACGTACCCTATGTAACGTAGTAAATCTTAGAGCTAAAGACTGTGATACAGAAAAATTGTCTAATACACAGCGGTAAAGCGTGGATTTCTTTTTCATTTTATCATTTAACATTCAAACGACGTATTTCCCGCAATCGCCTCGGCGACTTTGCGCACTCCGGATAATCCCGATAGTCCCGAGACTAGAACGAGTGAGCGCTGAATGCGCGCACTGATAACACGCAATACGGCCGTGCTTTTCAACCCTTGGAAGCGACGACCGCTTGGTGTTCGAACTTTGTCTTTGTCCTTGACCTCCCCTCTGCTAATAGCAGCCTCGGCTACCTTACGGAATATCCCGGAACTTCCTCCTCTGCCGCCGTGAGCGCCTATCGCGGTCCCTGCTGGAAGCTCGCCGTCTGGGAGCTTTTTAACCGATGGAAGCTCCGCAATCAAGTTAACGTAGACAGAACCTGATAACGCGAGACGAACTTCCGACAGTGACAGAACCAGATGAAGTATCCAACAGTTCGGTAGGCAGTCGGGAAGAGGAAGCTCCGGATAACCGAGCACGGAATCGTACATTCCTCGATTTATAAAATAGCCTAATAATTGCCTACGCCAACAATTACTTCGCGGAGGCCGTCCAGCCGCGCCCCTGATTACGCGGTATCGCGCACACGGACAGAGGAAAGAGAGAGTCGAGAGGGATGAAATTTATCAGCTGGTCATATATATATAAAAAAAAAACGATTATTCATAGTCGTCATTATTTTACGAGCGTTTGTTTCTCGCACTATCGTTCTCTCTCTATCCTCTCTCGTTTGTTCTCCTGACGATCCAATCCAGTTCTTCGACGATCCAACTTTTCTGATGCGGTGATGATGCCTCTTCGAGACTTTGCTCTGCCGACGAGGTTCGAGATGCCGATTAAGGTGGATGGACGATGGATGAGATGAGTCGGCTGCTAGCTCCGGAGATGACGTTGCAAGGTTCTCCAGGTTCGGATGAACGTATCGGAGCGGTGCCGAGGTGGGGCCCTCGTCACAGCCAGCACTCGTTGGGTCGTAGTTTCATAGAGTCTTAGTCGATCTGACTAGGCATGGCTTGCAAACGTGGCCCGAAAAAGGGAGGTTCGGGTGCATTCGAGTAACGGTTGGTAGTAGTGTAGTAGTAGTAGTAGTAGTAGGTAGTAAGTGTAAGTAAGTAAGTAAGTATAGTAATAGTAGTGGTAGTGGTAGTAGTAGCATAGTAGTATAGTAGTAGACGTAGTAAGTAGTAATAGTAGTAGTAGACGTAGTAGTAGTAATAGTGACGATCAAGTAGTAGGTAAGGGTATAAGGGGTTGTAGAAGTGGTAGTTAATTAGCTAGGGCCGCGAGATAATAAGGGGTGACGCAGTTGGGGTTAACACCAGCGAAAAGGTACAGCGCGGGGTCGATCCGCGCCTTCCTTCACCAGAGGCTTGTGAAACTCCCGACCAGGTCGGGAGTGAATTGTTGCCCAGCAATGCTCGCAATAGTACTGAAAATATTTGTCAATCAGTATTCGCCTTATCGTTACCCGTCAATTATCCTAGCTGAAGTAATCATTGTGGAACTTACCTGAAGGCAGGTGACATTCGCGCAGAAGAAGGGAGCGAACTTCCCTCCGCAACGTTGACCCTGGCACTCGTCACACATCTGATCGTCAAGAACATACGGTTTGACCTCGACCTACGGAAACGTCAAGATGATTATATTTTCAATGGTATTTCGATATATTTATAATCTAGAGCTTTTGGCGGATCTAAAGGATGCTGACCCTTTTGTCAATGTCGCCATGTTGCAGTTGGACGAATCTCGCGGATATGGCGGCAATGTAGCTTTGCTGATTACTGAAGGCTACCCTACCCGCACCCTTTGGATATTTGAGCTCGGGATCGGTGTCGATACCAGCGTAGCACACACCCCCGTAAAGTCGATCCATGATCATGGCCAGCTCGACGGCCTTCAAGGGTCGTGGTACGCCGCCGACGAAGACGGTCTTCCTGGGATCCAGGGGCATCGACGCGTCCAGAACGAAATCCGCATCGCTCAGACGCCAAGGTCGAATCTGAACTGGTTTGTCCTTGATTGTTGGGGAACTTACACATAGATAGAGCTTGTCGTCGTCCTGAATGCAGGCGTCGATCAGCTGCTGCACGGATCCCTCGTCCTGTCAAGGAAAGACAGATTATTAGAAATAAAACGTCGATATGATGATTATTGAAAAAATCACTAAATCGGTATGACAATAATGAGAATCGTGAAATACCTGGAAAAGCAGGAAAGCGTAACCTTTTGGGGGAAAGTAAGATTTACTCTCTGCCTTGTGTGGCCAATCGACGATCAGAGGACCGAATCGACGGAAACTGGCCGTGATCTCATCTGAGCATAGTTAAAAATCGATTTTTAATAAATCGTCTTATAAAAGCTGGAAGATGCCTCTGACCGAGTGACGTACCTTCATCGATATCCGGAGGCAAGCCGCCCACGAAGACCTTCCTCGAGAATCGCTCTCCTGTCTCGCTGCCCTGACTGTGAGGGCTGCTACGGCTTGGGGAAGATAGTGGTGCCGTCTGAGGAGCTGTCATCCCTCCGCCGACGCCGACGCCGACACCCACACCGACGCCGACGCCTACTCCAACGCCGTCCAGCTGACTCGCCGCATTTGGATCCTCAAGAAGAGTGCCACTCTGCTCCTCGAGACTCGGGAAGAACGGTGATTTACCTATGGAACAAAATCAATTCGATATCACCGATTGTCACGTTACAATGAGCCAATACAAAAGAAAACGAGAATAGGCACGAAAAATCCCAATACACGAAAAAAATCCTTAAATTACGAAAAAAAAAAAAAAAAAAAAAAAAATCAGTAAAGGTTGAAGGTCCACAAATGAGAGGCTTAAATTTAATTTACAATGAACGACTAACTACGAAACTCACTGTATCGTCTCTTTATTGAGAATCTAGCTCTCCTAACGAAGGTCGCCATCGCTTTTACAAATCTTCACGTAATTATTAATGGCTCGTATTCGCGAAACGTAACTCTTAACGAACCTCGGAATTCCTTGTTTCTTGGCGTCGTTAAGAGAAAAACGGGAAACACGCGACGCACGCGAAACAATTGAATCCTGTCGAGTCTCGTCGTGACGTCGACAGTCGCCTCCTCGTCTGGTAGGCCGATTGTCTGTCTCTCTCTCTCTCTCTCTCACAACCCGTCAGCCACTAACAACACCATCAAACAACTGGACGAAGAAGAGACAGCAGTCTTCCTCCTCCTCCTCCTCGTTTCCTCCTTACAGTATTCCCCGTTTGTATCGTAAAAATAGAGGAAATAACTCACCTATCTAGAGCTTACCGTACAAGGTACAGGTTACTTTCGTATTCCTCAATTCGCAAGTCACCCTGTATAAACTCGGAACTATTCAAGGAACCCGGTACGTGTTCTATCGAATTTTATAATGCCCGTGCGACGACCGAAGGACAGATGTCTCGTTTGAGCTACGACTCAACGAGACGAGGAAAAAACTATCAGGAGTAAAAATGGCAGTAGAGCCGAGACTAGCTTCGCCTTTTGACGGAATCTCATTTACATTCTCACGGAGGTTCGTCGCGACGGTGGCGCCACGGGGGGGACGCGACCAAACTGACTTCCAGTTGGCAGCAACAATGTAGCGAAAGACGTTCCTATAGAAGCACTACGGACTAAGGCGGTTGCGTGAGCGCGTATACGCAGGTGTGCGTGGCAGAGCTAGTACTATTGCGCAATGGACGTAATACGGAGTGATAAAAAAAAGTCTGCGAGAAAGAAAAACAAAATGGCGCATACAATATCAGATGGAGATGAGGAATAAGCCAAGAACGCGGGAACGATCCACGTGAAATGCCCGGAAGTCGCAATTTTTTTTTATAAGCCAATTTCTTTTTTTTTTACTCTCGCGCTCGGTGACGCAGGAGCTAACGATCGTATCTAATTTGAATTTCTCAAATTTCGTTCATACCGTTTCCTTCGTGTCGCATGCGTGCGAAATCGTCGAGGCATTTTTCTGGCAATTTGCATGCTAAAAATCACTTCCTGCCTTTTCGCAATCACAGTGGCTGCATTATGCATGGAAGCTTAAACCATTGCCCCGGGCCATAAGAGCTTGATGGTTTCTGGATATCACTGTATATACAGCATTTAAGGGAGGGTTGAAAATTTGTCGGAGGCCCGACAGTCAGTAAGGGTAGGGAGGGAGAGGGAGAAAGAGAAAGAAAGAGAGAGAGAGAGAGAGAGAGAGAGAGAGAGAGAGAGAGAGAGAGAGAGAGAGAGAGAGAAGGAAAAGTGGATAAAACAGGGCGGAATAAGGGGTATGAAGATAAGATGATACTATTCAAGCTCCCGGCAAGAGAGGAGGGGTTGTCTTAAAAAATCCAAATATCTAGGGTAGTTTTCCGCTCGCCATTATTAAGCGCGGTCCAGAATGAAAATTGGATTAAAATAAAGTGAAAAACGGAAAAATTGAAATTCTTAGACCGGTACCAGTAGCATCATTATCTCTAGCAGCTACTATATCCCAATTACTATACCTACCTGTTCGGTTTTGCTATCTACTTATTTAGTAGCTAACCAACTTCCCCATTAATATTCTGCTATCGCATTGCTCCGCGGCATGCACGGCGAATTACTCAACCGGTTGATCGCGCACGCTGTTACCCGCGACTCTATAGCCTCGACCGTAGCCACCCATGATGGGATCTCAGAATCCTTTGCCACGATGTCTCCAGCATTACCATAATATAGAAGCAAGGTGCGTGACGTGACCCAGAGGGATTAGAGAAGAAAAAAGAAAAATTCCCTGATATACCGTGCAGCCTTAACGGCGTGCTTTTGAAATACGTCAATCCTGATAAGGCGAACCGGTAAGGCCGCTAGATAAAATTCCAATGACGATCGTCACGATTCGAAAGAGCATGACGATATCGCGAACACGTGGATAAGAGAACGTATATGGAATATTTGCAGAGCGACAAGTGCGCGGGATCCCTGGATTCGCGGGTGATTGAGTTCAGCCGAAGGAAGAAGAGGTATCGGTTACAGTACGGTAATCGTGTAGCCAGGACGTCGGGCATCGGACGTCGTACGTAGCGTTACGTCACCGCTGACGTCCACGCAAGTATGGCTACGAGTAAGAGCTCGAACAGTGCCGTATCGATTGACCTCCCCGGCCCTGGGTCCAGTCCTGGGACCTTCGTCCTGCCAAGCGGAATTACTCGAGTCCATTCGTGGCGCTTCGTCCATGCGCCATCAATCACACTGGAAGCCGACAGAGAATTTCCAGAGCAGAAGTCGAGTTACCGAGCCCCGGGCGACAGGTTACCCGAGTCTGACCCGACTCCTAGATTTCCTATGGATTACAGTAGACGGTACCGCGGTAGCTTCAGGACCCTGGTACCCTGGTACCGGAAACCCTGGGACTCTGGGCTCGACTCTAATCCCAGCACCAGGGACGGTCCTCTCGGATTCGAAGCTCCGGGGCACTCCCGTGTTCCCGTGGTTCGGGCGTTCCTAGCAAACCGCATCCGCCGTATCGATTTAACGTGCACCGAGTGCAGCCTTCGTGCTCGTGAACGCGGCGTAGAGCTTCGGAGCTTTCGAGGAGCTTTGGAAAGTCGCCCTTGCGCCGGGCATTGGTCCGCCACTTGGGATCTGATCTTCTCAAGTATTAACAGGCTTCGTCTTATCGGGTAGCCTTGTCGAGCTTATTCTCTCCCTTATCGCTCTCTTTCTCTCTCTCTCTCTCTCTCTCTCTCTCTCTCTCTCTCTTACTATACAAGTATACGGCTGAACCGATGATTCTGAAGCGATAACTCGTGCACCTGGTCCCGAGTATTTCTATCTGCGGAGAGTCTAGTCTGACTGGACGACTAGATTAGACTCTAGGAGGGATGGCTAATGCTCGTTATTGAGGATATCCTCTCTGCGCTACGTATATAGGTATAGATAGGCTAGAGGCCTGGAGAATTGGCTTATCTGCGGAGACTTCGTTTCGTGAGAGTCGGGTGGGCGTGTGCGAAGGGCGAGAGGAGAAAAAGGTTGAGTGGTGGGTAGTGGGTGACTCCCCCCCCCCCACAATGGGGTTACCAGCGAAAGGATTCGGGAAGAGGACATGTTAATTCTATGGAAGGAAGGAAACAGCGCCGATGCCAAAACGAGCAGAAGTAATTTTGAAGGCGTGGATGTCCTTCCGGTCGGGAGCGCAAGAGCAGGAGAGGGTTTAGTTATCGCCCGGCCGATTTCCCTCTCGTCTCAGCGACATATTTCTTCTTCCGACACATAGCACCGAAATCAAAACCCTTAGGTTTTACGAGGCTAATTCGAGATGGAAGATTTAGCAGTGCGGCAGGGGGGAGGAACGAATTGTCTTCTCTCAAATCCACTGGGATATGTCTGCTTACGCTAAGAGAGAATTTCTAGTGGGTAACGTTTTCGAGTGGATTTTGTAAAGTGGAATTGGAATGCCGTGGGACATTTTTTTACTAAAAAAGAATTCCTATACAAGAAAAGGGAGGCGATCACTATTTTCGTGCGATGCGTAAGCGTAACGTGTACCCACTCGTATGGTACACGCGTTACTCGTTGGACGTGTGAGTCATTATTAAGAACATTATAAATCGTGACAAGGAAGTTTGGTCCAGTATGGGAGACGAAACTTTCCTTCTTTTCGACACTGACGCGTCGAGATTGATAGAATCCACGTGACGTCAGAGCGAGAATCGATAAACAGGATGTACAGTAAACGAGACGAGAGAGAAATGGGTGAATCCAGCAGACTTTGGAAGAAGAAAAAAATGTTGAATTTTCGGATTTCAAGGTCTTAGGGTAATCGGATAATAAGCAAGGGGATGAAAGGAAGATGAGAGGGAAGGGTGGCACTGGGTCGGTAATTCGGCGCGTGTCAGGATTACATTTTACGTAGTTGATGTACGACAAGGGAAGGAGGAGGTCTCGTTGGTAGGTTGCCAGTATAGAAGGGTTGAAGGTTGGTATGACGTTAAAGGGGTGAAGGCATAGAGAGAGAGAGAGAGAGAGAGAGAGAGAGAGAGAGAGAGAGAGGGCGATATATGGAAGGGGTTGCGGTCTAATGGAGCATCGAGCGAATGTATGATCATCTGGTAACCCCCCCTCCCCCTCCCCTCCAGAGTTGGTCGTGGCGCGGTGGACCCGCCATTAATATTTAGGGAACCCGTGAAATTTCCTGGACATGAATTGTTCAGGGGCATCCAATAACCCTCTTTACACATTATTCATGTAAACTTAGGTCTACGCGTTAGGAGAACAGGCATCATATCTATATATACATATATACTCGTCGCAAGGCTGCTTTAAATTAATGAGGTGCAAAGTTATGCGAGGTCTCGCGCTCTGGTCGAGTCGGAGCATCAGACTGTACGCGGATCCCGCCTCCCCCCCCTCTCACTCTTTCTCCTTTATCCTGTATCCCTTCTTTCTTTGTCTGTCGTATAAGGGAAAACAATAATTATCGAAATTTCAATATTCCACAGCCAAACTACTTTCCGCAGCCCTCATCCTGAAGGAGTCGTAAAATCCCCGCGAAGGGGACCCTCTCTGGCTCGTCGCCTCGACCGCGCCCTTGTCTCCGGCCTGGCATTGATTTTAAGTCCCTTTGATTAATCGACCTACTTTTATCGCTCAATCTTATTGTCCTGTCCGTCCCCGTAAGCGTC